CACCTGTGACTTACTGCTCTCCGTGTTCACTTGACCATGGCTGCAAGACTTCATCTAATTCGAAGGCAGCTTCGTCGGGAAAGAGTACTTTGCGACCGAAACAGCCCCTTGGAAGAGTACGACGATGAAGGACTCAGGAGCAGATTCAGACTCTCACGGAGTCTCCTCTTGGATATCTGTGTCCTAGTCCAGGCGAAAATACAAAGGGGTACTGCCCGTTGTGGAGCACTACCAATGCAGCTGATAGTATGTGTGGCACTTCGATTCCTGACCACAGGCTCCATCCACACCATGCTCGGTAATGGTCATGGCCTTTCCATTCCTACCATATTGATGGAGCCTGTGGCCAGGAATCGGTCGCAAAGTACTCTTTCCCGACAAAGTTGCCTTCGAATTATGTGAAGCCTTGCAGCCATGGCCGTGTTCACACGGAGAGCGGTAAGTCACAAGTGGCAGAAAGAATGCACATGCAACGCTTGGGGCATCCCAGTTTAAAATCTCGGCTGGAAACAGCTATAATTTCCAGCTGGACTCCAGCTGTAAATTCGGACCCATTCCAACTGGGTTACAGCTGGAAAGTAGTCATCTCCAGATTTGTTCCTAATTGCTATATCACTGACTGAATGAGAATCTTTTTGCTGACTATTTTTGTCGGAGGGTACATCTACAGGAACAGCTGATTTTCAACTGTAAATTTAGCTACATTCCAGCTGTAGGGTCCTCTATAAAATTCCAACTGAAAATTTTCCAGCTGGAAACAGCTATTAAAACCAGCTGCATTCCAGTTGGAAAATTCCAGCTATGAAACAACCCGTACCTACTATTTTCCAGCTCTTTGCCAGCTGGAAATGGTCCGAATTTACAGATTTAGTCCAGCTGGAATATTCCAGTTGGGATTTTAAGCTGGGATGTTATTAAAAATACGCATAGGTGAGTTTCCATAGTCCTCAGAGAGGTTAAAGTCGAGATAGAGAGACCTCCAAAGGTGTCTTTATTTTTTCTTTATTTTGAGCCGGGATAAAGTCGAAATATACCCGAAATAAAGTTAAAGAAGAAATAAAGTCGGAATATAGCCGAAATAAAGTTAAAGAAGTTTCGTGAAAGAGGCCCCTGGTTTTTCAAATTGCAAAGACTATCATTTTGGCATTTTTTAAAAACAAAAACCTGGTCACCCAGTTCTATACATCAAAATACAACCTGGTGATGGAATTGGGCAATCACAGCATCCCAAACTACTGCCCTGGATAAGTTTACTGCCGCTCTGCGCCGTTCAGGGGAACTTACATGGAACAACACGTTGGGGTCGACAGGCCTTGTTAAAACATATGGGGGGTTCAATCCGTGTGACCCTAGATTATATTCCAAGGGAGAGAGGAAGAAGGTAGTAAATAAGAATGAACAACATTGCATATAGACCAGGACCTTCTCCTAAAGAAACCTATTACTTCATGTTGCTTTTGTACTAAACTGAGAGTGTAAGTTTTAGTCCAGATGAATCTTGGTCGAATCAAACACCCAAGATTATAGGAACGTAAGAGATTCTTATCCTGAAGAAACTTATGTAAAGCTGAAAAAAATTGACCCATTCTGATTAGGGTTGAGGCCGCATATTTCAGCATCACCCAATAATTGGACCTTGGTCCAGATCGCTTAATGACATTTTCAGAGCGGTACGTTGTCTACTATGCTTAGTGCAATAGAGGAGGACATGACTGTTTCCTGGATTTCACATTCAGAATATACAGTGTTGGCAAAAAAAGGTAAGCCACTTAAAATTTGACCATATATTTCAACCGATGGACTTTTAAAATTTAATGGAACGTTGCCTAATAAGTTCTTCAAAAGCTCTTACAGTCTAATGCGTTTATGACAGTCCCTCCTTGAGTTACGTCAGACTTTTTTCAAAATGGTCAAAATTCCGAGTGAACAGGCATGCAATTTGCGAGGCACGAATTCACATTTGATTTTTGCTTAAAAAATCGGTTCCTGCAGATTGACCATCTTGAAAACTTAACAGGATGTTGTCATACGTGAGTTTTTCCCCGTCTGAAAATGTCATGCATGTGCATGAAATTGCAAGCATTCCTTAGCAAATTTTGTGTAAATTTCTAATGAGGACACATGAGCGTGCAAAAATTTACTTCGAAAATCCCACATCATTCGACCAGGCAGAACGAGAGAGTGAATTACAGGTCTTCAACATGTACAATGGAGGTCACATCTGGAAACAAATCGCATGATTGACCTATCCTGGGATGTGATAACACAAAGAAAGGAGAGATTTTAAAAGTTTCTCGTACCGTCGGGTGCTCGCCGGGGGTGGATCCAGGGGGGGGGGGGGGGGGCCCCCCTATGGCCAGCTTACCATTCTAATTTTTTTCCCATTTAAAAAAAAAATAGCTTCTACATTAACTTTTATTGGGGCTAGTGAAATAGATATTCAAGTTTTTACCCCAGACGAGAAAAGGAAAAGGCGATAGAGATGGGAGTGGTAAAAGGCGAGGGGGGTCGGTAGGAGGTAGGGAATCGCCCCCCTATGAAACATTTTTGTATCCGCCTCTAGTGCTCGCACCGGAAAATGTCATAACATTTGCATGGGAACACCTGTAATTTCATGCACATGCATGATACTTTCAGATGGTAAAAAACACGTGACAATGCCTGTTAATTTTTCACGACGATTCATCCATACAGGACCGGCCTAGTTATTTCGGCGCTCTGTGCAGAGACCCCCCTCCCCCCCACCGCCACACACACTCACACACTCACATTCGATCAGGATTGGCTTTCACTTTCTGAAGTTAAACTGAGAGTGGCATCCATTATTGCTTCATTCATCCACTTTCGTTCATCAGCCACGTTATGACGCCCCTGGTGAATTTGCGCCCTGTACAGGGGCACATATGGCACGTGCCTAAGGCCCGCTCTGCATCCATAGGAACTGATTTTTAGGCCAAAATCAAATGTGAAATCGTGCTTCGCGAATTGCGTGCCTGTTCACTCCGAAATTTGATCATTTTGACATAATCTGAGATAACTCAAACATAACACGCATTCAATTGTAAGAGCTTTTGAGGAACACATTAGGCAACTTTCCATTAAATTTAAGTCCATCGGTTGAAAAATATGAATTTTAAAGCCACATTTTAAGTGGCTTGCTTTTTTTTGTCAAACCCTGTATAAGGAAGTGGCTACTTGGTGCTTTCAATAATTCAATTCAATTCTAGGTTCCGTATCTGCGAGGGCATATCTTCTGGTCCTGGATTCTTTCCTCAAAATCCCAGCAGGCCGACAATGATTGGCACTGGAAGGATGCTCACTTTATTCCGGTCCATTCCCCCTTCCCCCTTTCCCCCCTTCCCCCATAATAATATATAAATAACGGAGGTGGATAAACTTTCGCAATTTGCATTGGGGAAGCCTGTTATAGCTCTTGGTCATGTATGAGTCCGACTTTCGGAGAATCAATTATTATATTGTTGATGTCCTTATGGCAGCAGAACCGGAAAGTGTGACCAGTAGAATATTCGAGACTGCCAGGATTCTACCAGGGGAAAACGATGCGAAGTTCCTGTTGAAAGAGCAGTCCTGAGGCACAAGGGTTGTGATAATAAAATTGTGATTGTTGAAATGTTCGTCATGGTATTAGACTCGTCAATCTCGAAACGTTCATGGACGCATGGATGTGACCGCAACGGTGTTTCCTTTCCTAATGCCCTGGTAAAAAATTGACGCCCTGGGTGATTTTGCAATAATTAGCAGCATCATCAGGATGCTTTCTACCGTAATTTTTTTTTTACCCCTCTCTGCTATCGTTCCCCATCCCTCTTCGTCCTTTAACTTCAGTGACGACTATACAAGCATTCAGACCCTTCAGGTGGAAAGTTGATGATGAAGGAAATGATATTTTGCAGATGATCTGGCAACACTTGGGCACCTTGCCACTACTGTGCCACGTCTCCGGTCCGCTCCGGTCTTCCTCGTTGTACACTAACATGCCCTTTTCTTTTGACAGGGTAGGCCTGAAGTACGAATCATAATTTTAGTGAACTGTGCGGTTTTATGTGGTGAAGATATCGCGGTATCTGAAGTAGCAAGGCACGTCAAATCAGCCAACGACGCCTCAAGTAAGGCCATATATAACGTGACTTGGAGGCCTACAATGGTTTCATTGGATCTTTCGAATTCCCTTATTCATCTTGGGTAATGGTAAAGGTGGGACGAATTATACGTTAAATTACTGGAGAGAGTATCTCAGGGGTATCAGCTTCTCGTGTAACGTTAGGTGTATTCATACGCCTGCTCTGACAGACTAATTACGGCCTATCGTTAACTCAAAAGTTAGCTTTTCGATTGCCCCGGTGGTTATACCGTTAGCGTTGGCTCTTTCGGAAATGTATTAATTTCACCAAATTTGCCAACCATGGCTGGATTAGTGCACGTTCTCGATCTGAACTAGGATGTGGTGGATGTTATTTTCTTGGGTAGTGGCAATATCCAGGGCATTTTAGTTGTTATTGCCTTCATATATCTAATGCATGTATGTCATGGATATGCCCCACGTGCCCCATCTGCATTCCATTTCGTGAATTACAAGATTTGTCAAGATTGAGTCTGATTCTGTAGCTAAAATTTAGGAATGAGGCAATGCACTCATATTGTTTACAATATTTTGAAGGCTGAGCTAACCTGGCCCCAGCCTCTATCCTGAGTCATAGGCCTGTTCCGCTTACAGTTAACCAAACGCGTCCGGTTAACTGAGCGCGAGTAGTCACATGGAATCTCGATTGGGATTCCTATTATATAAAATACATACCACACCCACCCCCCTAACCTAACCTGGCCTAACTTAGGAGAAACACAATATCCCTAGGGGGTACAGTCACTTGGGCAACCCTTTGCACTGCGTGCGGGTAACTGTGTCCGATGGGCAACTGTAAGCGGAATAGGCCTAAGCCTAGGTTAGGCCAGTGCACATCTTACCATGTAATAGAATGAAGAACTTCTTCCACATCCTTGCATGCACATTTGCATATGTGGTTGATAGTAATATTTAAATAAAGGAATATGAACATGGTGAAACAGATTCTTGCAGTGGCCTAAGTCTAAATGGTATTATGCCATGATTATGGAGTGATCTTGTGTTATTGTTTTAAAATGATAGACATTCTTCCATCAGATATAAGCCATCTTCATTGCAAAATGTTGACCAAGTTTGAAACAAAGTCTGCTCGAGTGAAAGGCCTCTCCTTCCATCAAAAGAGGCCTTGGATTTTAGCATCATGCCATAATGGAAACATCCAGCTGTGGGACTATCGAATGTGTGTACTGTTGGACAAATTTGAGGAGCATGATGGCCCAGTTCGGGGAATTTGCTTCCATCAGCAGCAGCCACTTTTTGTCTCAGGAGGAGACGACTACAAAATTAAGGTTGGATCTATACTCTATTTAAGTGAACAACAAGCAATGTTTTCTTGAATGCTTATATAGTGATGTGTTTGCCATCTCTTGTAATCAATGTTAAAATTACAATTATCCAGAGTAGCATTTTGAATGTGGATGACATTATATGTTTTACTAAATTGTGTTGGCATCCTAAAAGTTTGTCTGAAATTTTCTGATCAGCTGACATTTTCTCACCTAGATTATTATAGTGACTAAAGCTACGTGGGAAAACTCTTTCCTTATGATTTTTCAGAATTTAGGTTGCTCATCCATTAAGTAAACATTAGCAGGAACAGTTAATATTACATTTGAATCAAGTGAAAAGTGGTGACAGAATAGCATGGGGGAACATCTTGCTGCTTGAATCCTGAACATTTGAGGAGTTCTCTAGAAAAAGGGCATATGTGCAAAAGATGCAATTCAAAAAAATTAGTGGCCAAAACTTCCCATAAATAATCTGTAGTTGATCAAAACTCAGTTTTCAGTCAAATGGTATCTTAGACCTCTTTCCAATTGAACTTGGGGTTTTATTGAATTTCTTTATTTCTCATTACTGGGATGCAGGCAGAAAGTGTTTATGCACATAAGCCCTTTTTCCATATCTGCACTGCTGGAACTTTTTCCAGCCAGTCTTTAACTATCTCTTTCTAGTTAAAAATCATAATTTACCAATAAATACATCTACAAGTTTCAAATCAACTCTTCCTCAAAGAATGGCAATAAAAATGTAAATATTCAGGACAAGCTTGATTCATCATTTACATATCAATGATTCATTATTAATTTATCCCTCATCTGAAACTGCTTCATGGATATTGCCAACTTCTTGTATCCTTCCAGAGGCTTAAATGACTGGGCCTCTTTTTCCCCGCATTTTTTCCTGTCTCTGGTTTCTTCCGCATTTTCACTTTCAATTCAAAAGGATGGAATTATTCCAACAAAATCGTTCAGTGATGCAGGTACTAATGGAATATTCATGGAGGCAGCCTTATTGAAATTGTCAGGCAGTGAGCCTGCCATAAAATGAAAGCATAGGAAAATTGCTTCTCCTTTGCTGAATATGAAACTTCCTAACTGCTGATCACCCTATCCTATGACAAGTCACCTAAAGCAGTGCATGGACATGAATATAGAAAATGGGCATATGGGCATTTATGCACTTTTTCCAGAGAACCCCTCAATTGCTACCCCACTGGCAGGCATATTGATGAATGTTTGTGCTCAAAATTCTGTGTTGTGCTACAATTTAAAAAATTATGTCCAACTAGGTGTGGAACTACAGGAAACGTCGATGTCTCTTCACGCTTCTGGGACATTTGGATTACATCCGCACAACATTTTTCCATCATGAGTATCCATGGATCCTGAGCGCATCCGATGATCAGACCCTGCGGATCTGGAACTGGCAATCCCGCTCTTGCATCTGCGTTATGACTGGCCACAATCACTATGTGATGTGTGCCCAGTTTCATCCTTCAGACGACCTTGTTGTGTCTGCTTCATTGGACCAAACAGTTCGTGTCTGGGATATCTCTGGTCTTCGTAAGAAGAATGTGGCACCTGGGCCAGGTGGCCTAGAAGAGCATCTCCGGAATCCTGCTTCTACTGATCTCTTTGGCCAGGCTGATGCAATTGTTCGACACCTGTTAGAAGGTGAGCCTTCTATTCCTTTGAGATAAGTCTAGTTATGTGACTTTGTAAACATCTTTGGGTTATTTCATTAATACCTTTTTCATGCCTCACCAACACCATAAGTTCAGATTTTAGATACTGTATAGAGCCTACTCAGAATAACACATATTCTCATTATAGGTCATGATCGTGGAGTGAATTGGGTTGCTTTTCATCCTACTCTTCCTCTCATCGTCTCTGCTGCTGATGATCGGCAGATCAAGTTGTGGCGAATGAATGACACACGTGCTTGGGAGGTAGACACTTGCAGGGGCCACTACAATAATGTATCTTGTGTGCTCTTTCACCCACGTCAGGAGCTGCTCTTGAGCAACTCTGAAGATAAGAGCATCCGTGTGTGGGACATGACAAAACGCACTTGCCTCCACACATTCAGAAGAGAGCATGATCGTTTCTGGGTTCTAGCTGCTCATCCATCTTTGAACCTCTTTGCAGCAGGTCATGATGGTGGCATGCTTGTTTTCAAGCTGGAACGAGAGAGACCTGTTTACTCTGTGCAAGGGAACATTCTATACTATGTCAAAGATCGATTCTTGCGACAGTTGGATTTCACAACAAAGAAGGACATAGCAGTCATGCAACTTCGAGGCAGTACACGTTCTCCTCCCTATTCAATGTCATGGAATTCAGCTGAACATGCTGTCATCCTTTGCTTTCGGGCACCTGCACAGGAAAACAGTGCATACGATTTGTACATGGTACCGAAGGACGTCAGCACTCAAACTCCTGATTCTGTTGAAAGCCGTCGCTCTTCAGGCCTCACAGCTGTGTGGGTGGCCAGGAATCGTTTTGTTGTGTTTGACAAGACTCATACAATTCTGATTAAAAACCTGAAGAATGAAGTCACAAAGAAAGTGCAGGTGCCATCATGTGATGAGATTTTCTATGGAGGGACTGGAATGCTGATCCTGAGGGACAGTGATCATGTCACTCTATATGATGTTCAGCAGAAGAAGACTCTAGCTCAGGAGAAGTGCAGCAAATGTCGATATGTTGTTTGGTCCCAAGACACAAATCATGTAGCATTGCTTGGGAAGCACTGTGTGGTCTTGTGTGACCGGAAGCTTGCAGCTTATGCCAGCGTTCATGAAACTGCTCGGGTCAAATCGGGTGCATGGGATGATTCAGGAGTTTTCATTTATACAACAGCAAACCATTTGAAGTATTTGCTGAAGAATGGAGACAATGGGATAATTCGTACTTTGGATGTTCCAATATACCTCACACGAGTGAAGGGCAGGACAATCTATTGTCTTGATCGGGAAATCAAGCCAAAAACATTTACTATTGATCCCACAGAATATCATTTCAAGTTGGCACTCATTGACCAGAAGTATGAAGAGATGCTGCATCTCATTCGCAATGCCAAACTTGTTGGCCAGAGTATCATTGCTTACTTGCAGAAGAAGGGATACCCAGATGTTGCTCTTCATTTTGTGAAAGATGAACGGACAAGGTTTGCCTTGGCACTTGAATGTGGTAATATTGATGTGGCTCTTGAAGCTGCTCGTGCTTTGGATGACAAAGCCTGCTGGGAACATCTTGGAGAGGCAGCTCTTCTGCAGGGCAATCATCAAGTTGTGGAGATGTGCTATCAGCGGGTCAAGAATTTTGACCGCTTGTCCTTCCTGTATTTGATCACAGGAAATCTAGAAAAGCTGAGGAAAATGATGAAGATTGCTGAAATCCGCAAGGACATGTCCGGGCATTTCCAGACTGCTTTGCTCCTTGGAGATATTCAGGAGCGGGTGAAAATTTTGAAGTCTTCTGGCCAGCTATCTTTGGCATATATGACTGCTGCCACCCATGGTTTGACAGATGAAGCAGAGTCAATAGCTGCATCTCTGGATCCAGATACCCCATTGCCAGAGGTGCACGCAGATGGAGAGCTGCTCATCCCACCCCCACCTGTCATTCAGTTTGAAGGCAATTGGCCTCTCCTGACAGTCTCACGAGGATTCTTTGAAAGGATTACGACTGATGAGAGCAAAGGATTTGTTGATGCCGCTGCAGATGTAACTGAAGGAGAAGGTTGGGTTGAAGATGAAGATTTACGCCTTGATGAAGAGGAAGGAGAAGGAATCAGTGATCAATTGGCTGCTGAAGGAGATGGTGGAGGTTGGGATGTTGATGAGGAATTGGAACTGCCACCAGAACTGGAAATAAAAGCAACTCATGACGGGGCTTCAGACTCATATTTTGCTCCACCTTCACGGGGTGCTCCACCGAGCCAGTCATGGACTTCTACCTCTCCATTGGTTGTGGACCACATTCTGGCAGGAAGTTTTGAATCTGCAGCCAAACTTTTGCATGACCAAATTGGCATGGTGAACCTCTCACCTTTCCTTGACCAATTTCTTAATATATTTGGTCGAAGTGCATGTAGCTTTCCTGGACTTCCAACATTGTCATCAATGTATGCCTATCCTGTCCGACCAAGTCCTGGGAAAACAAAGTTGCCTGCTTTGCCTATTCGGTTGAATGACTTGGTGCAACGTCTCCAAGTCGGTTATCAACTCACAACGGCTGGGAAATTCCGAGATGCTGTCGATAGATTCCGTGGTATTCTACTGTGCATTCCAATGGTGGTTGTAGAGTCACGACAGGAAGCAGCTGAAGCTCAACAGCTGCTGACCATCTGTCGGGAATATATCAATGGACTTCTGATGGAAATCATGAGGAAGGACCTCCCAAAAGAAAATCCTGCTGATCAGGTATGTGCTTTAGTCACTGAGTAAATCTTGCTGATTTCTCATATGTGGTTTGATTGACTTGAGAATAACTGCCAAGATTCACTCTTCTCTTGCTTGATTCAGTTTTGGGACTCAGTATTGAAATACCAAAGCTCAAACACTACACAGTTATGGTGTCTCTTTACACTGTCATCTTGTTCTGTCAGTAGAATTGACCTACTCCTGCATATAAGTTTCATGCATAGACATGCAAAAAAATTTTAATGCCGAATGTTCTTTCTTCTTAACCCACAAACACTTGCCAGACATTAGAATTGCATATGGTTATTGCAATAGAGTTTGAGTAACTTCAGCACATGTCCTAGAATGGTTCTTACAGCTAAAAGGGTTTGAGCTTCGTGCTATGGCATTATCAGTCACCATGTGTTGGCTGGAACAGCCACCATTCCACTAAAGGGAAAGTACAACCACCGTTGTACTTCTGCTTTAGAGGTCTGCCCAGTTTTGCGACTCACATTCACTTGCTGATCGTCCATTTTTCTTTCCATCAGGTACGGAATTGTGAGATGGCGATCTACTTCACTCATGTGAACTTGCAACCAGCACATCAGATTTTAACCCTGCGCACAGCTCTTACTGTGGCATATAAGATCAAATGCTTGCAAACGGCAGGCTCCCTTGCAAGGAGGCTCCTGGAATTGGGACCCAAGCCTGAGATAGCCCAACAGGCTCGGAAAATCTTGCAAGTCTGTGACAAGTCACCTTTGGACGAGAGCCGCCTGCATTATGACGAGCACAATCCATTCACCATCTGTGGAGCATCTTATGTTCCTATCTACAGGGGGAAACCAGAGGTCACTTGTCCCTTCTGCAACACAAGCTATCTGCCAGAGTTTGAGGCCCAGTTGTGCCGAGTGTGTACAGTTTCGGAAGTTGGAAAAAAGGTCTCAGGATTGCGCCTTTCCTTGCAACAACGATGAAGAACCAAGGACATCTTGGCTGAACGGTGTTTGGTTTGGGTTCTTGCCCTTTTATTTGATGATGGAGATTTATTTATCCAGCTCATATGCCCTGTGGTTGATTTGATGTGCCTATGAAAATATAAATAAAGTCTATGCTGCTTCAAAATCTTTGCTTGGTGATATGTCGCAAGGGTTACTGATGTGCTGCAGCAGCTGCAATCACAAACGTGGAATGGAACGGTGCCAAGTATGCTGATATTATTTTGCACTCACTGTCTCTCGACCCACACGAGCCCAGACGTCTGCGGTACCACATCTTACGAACCACTCGTTTATCACAGAAGTGAACATCGTCCACTCGTTGAACGGAGAGCGCATGCCGATTGACAGGTGGTACGTGTGAGCCAGAATCGCTCGAGAGGTAGGATCTTGTTCCGATACCGTCTGTGAAATGTTACTCAAAGGGTTCAGTTCTGTGACATCGATGTGTGTACGGGGTCAGGTACCATTGTAGAAATATGGATTTCATGAAAGATTAAGTTGAATACGATCCTGTCTATCAGGGTTATCCTAGTTTTGGACTCCTGCTTACTGATTGACCACTTTTCCTTTCAGCCCTTCAAATCTGCAGAAAAATTCCGAAAAACGGAAAAATGTTTCCTTTAATTGAAGGGAATGGTCTATCTGCTAGAAACGGTTTCCCAAGCTTCAGAGGGAGGAAATTAAGAATCTAGTGACCTTGCTAAAAAAAAAATGAAGAATTAGTGCATCTTTTTCTTTTTTTTTCTTAAAAAAAATCCCATTGGTTACTTTTCTTCAAAGAAAGGAATGCATTAGCACATTAGACCAATTTTCCCTTTTCTTTGTCTACTTTTACAGATAAACCGGTTTTTCTTTCAGCCTCTCAATAGTTGTGACTTCCCAAATGTTGAGAAAGGTTCAGATTTGCGAGGGGTGACAAACAGCAGCTAAAAAATCTTGAAAGTTATCGGGTAGCTTCTGATGCCGGGCCTTTTTCTCTGCGCATAGGTTCTTCAAGAGCATTTCAACCGCTGACTCACCTTTTCGTCGCATCCAGCTGAGCCCCGTCAGAAGGGTGTGCGAAGACATTTCCCACTGGTTAGTTTCTCGATGGATTTCAGATTTGAGGGAATGATCTCGCCGAAAGCTCGGGACACCAAGCAAGGGAGATCCATCAGGACGTGATGCATACATACATGCACACAATACTTTTCCAAGTATTATGAGAAATTTCACAGCTGGAAAGGAAACTGAAGATGAGGCTCGATCATTCGATTCGTCTTTTTATCATTTTCACTAATATTTTTCCCATTTTGCAGAAGCCGCACCGGTGACAGCTCTCCCGTTCGGTACTTGATCCACATTTCTCATAATTATATTTCGCAGGTCTTACCATTAGCACATCCAGTAATTTCACTTACACCCCACTTGATATCGCATCTCATGCAATTTGACATCACATTTCGTGTAATAACCTTTACAAAAATATTAGCAAAATAGGATGAAAGGGTTTACTCATCGGTGGCGCAGCTAGCCGCAAGAGATTATGTATTAATTTAGCTTGCCATTAATTGGGAATCATTGACCTGCAAGGAATCGTCTTAGAAGTCATTAGAAGTATTTGAAATTCATTGCTTCTTCATCAAAACTACTTCACACATAGAATACACATACCATTTTTTAATTACGCAAGCTATGCATGTTTATAAATCAGCGTGAACTATTGAATATTCATTGAGAATGCGTGCTTTCGTGCCTCAGTGCAAAGATGAAAATTCAGGATGCAACGATGTAGAGATACCAAGGGGAAGTATCATACTTCGAGGGAACCTCATCATTGGTTTTCCACTGTTTTCTGCTTTTTGAAGTAGAGCCTTGGTAGCAGATCTTTCGTATAACGATGCGTAGTGATGGCTTTCCACGTCTGGTATGTATGCGCTTGTTTCAAGTAGAAGACGGCCCAGCAGGCAAGGCTACGTTGGACCAACGTGGTAACAACGTTCCAAACGTTTATTCAATGTTGATTCAACGTTATGTGTTTAAAATTAGTCGGGGGGGGGGGCTTCCTCTGAGTTGTTCGCCGTATATATATTTTCATTTCCCCGAAATGCCTTCAAGAAATCCTGATTATTTTGCAGCTCCGTGCCAGAATGCGTTCTTCAAGACCTAAGTTTAACTGAGAAAATATTTGGACTTCAGGGTTTGATAGATACGTGGGAAAAAAAATAAAGGCCAAGGTACACGATTTGCGTGTGTTCTTTTGGTCGTTCCATGTTGCTGAATCCAGGGAAACCCAGAACTTTCGGCCCGTCTCTTCGTGCAGCGCAGCAGGGGAGACCACCTTTCGATGCGAGTTTACCATCATTTATGCATTGAAGTTCGGAACCAGTTCGGAAATAAAATGTGGTTTATGAACGTAGACCACTTTCCCTTTCGGCCCTTCGTTTCTGGTTCACAATCCCCGCAAGTTTTTATCTTCACGTCCCACGATTCCCTTCCGACAAAGATTCATTCCCGCCACGTTCAGGAATGAGTCGCCCGAAGGCAGAGGAAGCCAAGGGAGGCCCGGCCTCGTAAAAATTCTTAGGAGTATGCACTCCTCCGAGCGACTTGGAAATGACCGTCGACCGTTTGAGTGGGTTCGACGCGACTGTCACGTCCCCTGACTTTTGTCCGGTGCGCTCGTTCGACTCTGCTCTCCCTCGGTGCGTTTCGACGAGGCGACGTTTGCGATTTCCGCTGCGGTGAACGTCGTCCCGTTTTTAATTACCTGCTGGAAGGTTAAGTTATGAAATATCTGAAAGAAAATTCTACGAACCAGTGGCGGCGGCTCGTGAGTCTTGGTGTATCTACTGGATTGAGCAGAGCGGAGCGTCCTCGCTGCGAAAAGAGTGCTGTGCGCCCTAGGCGAACCTAATCTTCTCGGGACGGAGTCGAACCCGACCCGAGAGAGAGAGAGTCCTTCGTGACCTGCCGCAAGGAGGACAGCCCCTCGGGGCTGTCCTCCTTGCGTCCTTCCTTGTCCTCCTTCCCCCCAGCAGACCTTGTGAACGCTCTAGGTTTTAGTCCTATCTTGCTGCGAGATTTGGAGATCTGGCGTGGGTCTTCCCTCTCGAGAACCTTCACCTCTTTTCATCACTTAGTGAAAAGTTAACTTCTAATAAATCAGCAGCAGTATCTCCTATTTGTCATTTTGAGTAAGCGAATCCTAGAATACGGTGCAAATATGGCTATCACTGCTTCTATTACTATGATAGAAAATGTACGCGTCATTGTGTCATTCCCTTACATATTTTACTAGTTTCATATTACCAACATTTTTAACCGTTTTTATTTACATATAATGTACAGTGAAAACTCGTTAACTCGAACTTTTAGGGACCGGGCAAATCGTNGGAGAAGAAGAAAAAAAAAACAAAAGAACATCCTCCCGAACGTGTTTCTTGTCATTCCTCCTATTCAAAAGTATTTTTAAAAAAAGTCCCAAGAGAGAAATTTTTCCCCCCTTCTCACCCTGAATTCGAGTTAACCGCGAGAAATTCGTTATCGGGAGTGAAAATTTCATTCGAGATATCCGGAAATTCGAGATAAGCGAATTCGAGTTAAACGGAGCATTTAACATGGTGTCCTACGGGGTTCCGCCGGGACCAAGCTTTAAACTTCGAGATAAGCGGAATTTCGACTTATCAGGATTCGAGTTAACGAGGTTTCACTGTATTATATTACCATATTCATGTCGTATTTTAAAATGTTGAAGCCATGTGAGCCATGTGTGTGGTGTGGGACAGAACATTTTTCTCCCCCTCTGCAGCTTAGCACGAACTCCTGGAAAATAAAGTGAACTGCATTTCTGAATGCAAATAGAACTCCAATGGCTTGCTTAGCCATTGCCACCAGCCCGAATTGAATTGAAATTCGGCTGGACATCAGAGAGCATTATTCTGCAACTTTTTTCCTGATACCCACCGGATGCAGCAGTGCTCTGTTCTGAGGCATCTTCAGTGGCCGGCCCTCTCCCCGCTCAGTCCAACATTTTTCTGAAAATCAATCAATCTCTTCTCGTTGTCGTGAATGCCAGCCATTTTCATGCTAGAAACTGAAGGGGGGAAAAAAAGTTCCAAATTAATCCAGGTTTTCACATCTCACCCAAGATAGCTCAACAGTTATGAGACTTCTGGCTGCGGGGAGGGGGATAAAAAGGTTGTGTGCCACCCCGTACATGTGAAAGTGGACGATGAATCGTGGCACTAACTCCACGAACTCCATGATATAAGCACTGCCATTGGAAAGCCCGAGGTCAGGAGAGAATATATAGAACAGTGGTGCTCAGCCCGCGAGGCCCTAACCCACAATAAATACCCTTAGGTTTCCTTAAATAGTTTCCTACGATTCTAGTGACTGGCCCGCGATGGCTGTGGGAGTGAGTTATTGGCCCCCTAGCCGAAAAGGTTGGGCACCACTGATATAGAACATCTGGCAATGCCGTATGGATTCGGCAACGTAGCACTGAGGCCACTTCTCTCTGCTCTATGTCCCAGTCCATGCGCTTCGCTGTGAGATCGTACATTCTCCCTCGGCACTTCCACCCGCTTCCAGAGCAGGTTAGGCCTCGGAGAGGCTGGCCTAGGTAGGAACTGAGCATGCTCAGACTCACCTGCAGAGCGGGGACGTCCGAGCAGAACAGCCCACTGGCGGCATTTTCCCAGCCGTTTCTTTATGTCGTTACCCGCTTCCAGTACGTCATCGAGTTCTATCGACTCTAACCAGGTAGTCCAAAGATTGTTTTGGCAGGAGATATTCCTAAAACTTGATCGAGTAGAAGCTCAAATAGTGTGAAAATACTAGTTTTTCACGGTAGTTCTTGGTGCTATCTTCCTTGTTTGGCCCTGGTAAGGCCCGTCCGACGTGCCTACCCTAACTACGCCACTGATTGCGCGTCATGTGATACCCATAGACATTGTGTACGGGGTGTCACAGCGCGCAATGCTATATCACAGCGGCGTAGCGTCGGGTGGGCAAGGGGTGGCACGTGTCCCCCCTTGCCCCCCCCCCCCCCGACGCTACAGGAAAGAAGCCAAAAAAAGGAGGAAAAGACCCAGAAATGCATGTTAACTAGAGAGCGGATTTTTATGCAAATGAACATTT